CACGACGCCGTCTGTTGCGTCTGCACTTCGCCGCTTGTGCCGGGCCTTATGGCCAAGACCAAGGGAGATCTTCACACCGGGCCCAGCCATCGTCTCACACATTGGCACTTCACTTTTTTTATACATGTGTTTTCCTATAGGATGGAGGATGTGGGTCTTCGGACCTGCCCTGAAGTCTCGCGGGGGGATGTGTATGTGTGGCTGTTAGGTGCCTTCACCGTGACCCTTAGGAGAACTATGGGGGAAAACACTGACCCCATAGTTCTCTTTTAATGCATTTTTGCAATCAATATCACCAAAAGAAAACCTTCTCCGTATCTCTCGGGTTATCTTTAGTAATGACAAAGTTATTGCTGAATAAACCGGCCCATAGCAGAAATGTAAAGGTTACGGATCCGCGGCATGGACGTCACACAGCCGAGAACCCAGCCGAGCTCGGCGTGCTCCGGCACCTGGAAGGAGAACACGGCACGTTACCCACCGGGGGGAGAGAAGCCCGCCTTGTCCATAGCCAGCCGTGGTGGGCAGGAGCATTGTATCAGGAAATGTCAATACAACCGAAAGATTTGCACATCTGACCCAGGCTTACTAGATCCAGCATTACAGTGCAAGGTTATGGGGGCCCCCTGGAGCCTGGGGCCCCTGGAAACTGCCCTTATAACCTGCCAATGCAACCCCTCCCCACCCCGGCCATCTCAGTGCACCTTTCACCTGTTGGAGCCCCCCGTGTTTCTGGATATGGGGTCACTGGGCCAAACCAATGGATCTCCCTGGGGAGGGAAGGCAGGAAAGGCGTCAGTGGGCGGGGCTTGTGTTCCAACAGGCCAATAGATTCCTATTAAAGGTGAACCTCCCCCAGGATAATTACTGACATATAATATGGAAGTTTAAGAGTTTAAGTGTTTCCCCTTTAAGACCCGCCCCCTTGTCATCTCTCCCTCTCGCTCCCCCCCCCCACCCTGACCAGAGACTGCTGGAAGAGGATGCTCTTCTCCGGGTCTATCCCGCAGGCCAGCAGGCAGGCAGCCATGTCCAGGACACTCTCCCGTAGGGTGGCCGGGTCCTGGGGGACGGTGATGGAGTGCAGGTCCACAATGCTGTACAGCACCGAGCCGAAATCGTCCTGCAGCTTCGCCCAGCTCTGGAGTGCGCCCAGGTAGTTGCCCAGGTGAGGGATCCCGGTGGGCTGTATGCCGGAGAAGACGCGGGAGGCGGGACCCTGCAACAGGAGTAAAGTTAATACGGGACACCGAAGCGGTAGCTTAGGCCCCCTGTGTGGACCATCAGCGCTGGCTTCCTGGGCTCAGTTCCCCTAGTGCAGGGGTAGGCAACCTCGGATGCAAAGGGGGCGGGATGAGGCATCGCAAGACTGACAGTTACAGGCAGAGGCATGATGGGATTTGTAGTAGAGTGCCGAACACTACAATAGTGGCACCCGGCTGCTTCCACAAACCAAAAACCGCGCCGAAGACGTAGAGGATCGATAATCCTCCCGAAAAGGTTCTTTCAGGTCATCTGTGGTCCGTGTCCCCAGTGGGGAGGTTTCCCCTCACTTCCACTCCTCTGGGGACACGGACCGGCCCCTAAACACTCTGTTCCGCACACAAGGAAAGGGTCGGATCGAATATATCGAGAGCTAAAAGGGCCACACCGTATAAGTTGACAAACCGACGCGTTTCTGTTTCAGCTCCGCCTACTTCATCGGGGGGGTGGAGTTAGAGCCCTTGAAATGCGTCGGCAATGTATTGGGGGCGCTGCATGGTGAAGAGCGCTGCGCAAGGATCGGTCGAGCAAGTGAAAGGCAAGCAAATCCTCCCAGAGCGCCCAGGAGTAAAGAGAACCCGTCACCCGTACCCACTTCATAAATGTGATTTGATATTGATGACTGTGGTGCGGCCTAACTGTGACGCACGCACGCGGATGCGACGATATCTCCACCTTAGCAAACTCATTGTCTGTGAAGGCGCGGCGCCGGAGTACCGCGCCGCTATCCCCATCGCCCGCCCTGTGCTCGCACAATTTAAAAAAAACCTTCCCTGCTGAGCGCCCCCTCGTCTGTCGCGGCCGTCGCATGCGTCAGCTGTGTAAACATCCCTCGCAGGTCTATAGTCCGACGTCACGTGATGTTCTCGCCGCTTCCAGTCGCGTGTTCCGCTGCGGCGAGGAGACGGACTTGCCGTAATGGAAACACACGTGACGCCATCTTAGCGTGACACATAATTGATTATTTTATTCCCGATGTCGGAGCCGCTCCTCCTGCTGCATTCACACTGTGTTTCCAAGGTTCCGCTAGAGTGCAAGCTCTTGGGACCGGCCTGCCAGGACGCTATGATGAATGGTGATGTCAGACAGCGGGGGAGGAGGGGGGGGGGAGGCTGAGACGGAGAGATTGGCAGTTAAGCCAAACCGATTAACCCCCGCTGGTCAGGCCGGGCCCTGTGCGATGAGTCCCGGCTCAACTGTCACTGCAGGTCGGTCCTGTGCGCACTCATCGAGTCCCCATTCAACTGTCACTGCAGGTCGGTCCCTGTGCGCACTCATCGAGTCCCCATTCAACTGTCACTGCGGGTCGGTCCCTGTGCACACTCGAGTCCCCATTCAACTGTCACTGCGGGTCGGTCCCTGTGCACACTCATCGAGTCCCCATTCAACTGTCACTGCAGGTCGGTCCCTGTGCACACTCGAGTCCCGGCTCAACTGTCACTGCAGATCGTTCCTGTGCGCACTCATCGAGTCCCCATTCAACTGTCACTGCGGGTCGATCCCTGTGCACACTCATCGAGTCCCCATTCAACTATCACTGCGGGTCGGTCCTGTGCGCACTCGAGTCCCCATTCAACTGTCACTGCGGGTCGGTCCCTGTGCACACTCATCGAGTCCCCATTCAACTGTCACTGCAGGTCGGTCCCTGTGCACACTCATCGAGTCCCGGCTCAACTGTCACTGCAGGTCGGTCCCTGTGCGCACTCATCGAGTCCAGATTCAACTGTCACTGCGGGTCGGTCCCTGTGCGCACTCATCACCCCAATTTTCTTTGACCCCTGACCCCAATTTTCTTTGGGTTCCGCCCCCACAGCGCCATTCTCTTCTGGGCGAAAACAGCGACTCTGCAACATTCGCTGGTGAGGACGTTACGCGGATTCCTTTCGTAAAGTACATAGTGCACACTCATCGAGTCCCCATTCAACTGTCACTGCAGGTCGGTCCCTGTGCACACTCATCGAGTCCCGGCTCAACTGTCACTGCAGGTCGGTCCCTGTGCGCACTCATCGAGTCCAGATTCAACTGTCACTGCGGGTCGGTCCCTGTGCGCACTCATCACCCCAATTTTCTTTGACCCCTGACCCCAATTTTCTTTGGGTTCCGCCCCCACAGCGCCATTCTCTTCTGGGCGAAAACAGCGACTCTGCAACATTCGCTGGTGAGGACGTTACGCGGATTCCTTTCGTAAAGTACATAAAAAAAGATGGCTGGTCTACAGAGGGGTGCGTGATACAAGGTGACCCCCCCCGTATGGGAGGGGGATGGGAAGGGGTGGGGGGGGTGTTACAATCGCCGCTGTTTATATAAAGCGGACAGACCGCGGCTGAGCAATGTGCGCAGGCGGACCGCCGTCTGTCCATTCAACCTAGGTGGCGGGACCGTGGTGCGGACAGCAGGATACGCCCCCCCTCTGATCTGTCTGACAGGGGTGATTGATGGCGGTGCTCCCCCCAATGAGGGGGGAGGGGGGGCAGGAAGTGCCGACAGAGAAGCCGCCATCTACAAGGGGGGTGATTAATGAGTCTCACCTACCTGGGGAGCAGCCGATCCCGGCCGACAATTATCTCACCTCCTCCCCCGCGGTGATAAATCCGCCAAATTCAGTTCACTGACCGAGAAGACGACACCGGAGCCGCGCAGAGAGCACCACATGTACCAGCAGACCGACCATGACCAATCGCACCATACATTGGAGAACTACAAGTACCAGCATGCCCATGTATAATTATATAGAACTGCAAGTCTCTGTATAATTATAGGACCACAAGTCCCAGTAAGGACTGTATGACAGGTATAGTTGGACTACAAGTCCCAGCATGTCCCTGTACGATCATTTAAGGGTTGGAAATGTCAGCGTGGCTGGAATGGCTGGAAAGGGAGGACTACAGATTTCAGCATGCCCTTTATGAATACTATAGAAGGGCTACAAGTCTCATGACAACTACGGGAGGACTACAAGTCCTTTATGACCGTTATAGGACTACAAATCCCAGCATGTCCTTCATGAACATTATGGAAGGACAAGTCCCAGCATACCCGTTATGATTATTACAGAACAACATTAGAGGAGAACAACAATTTCCAGCATGTCCTCTATAATCAAGATAGGAGACTTGGGACTTGTAGTACTCCTCTAGTTGTCATGAGACTTGTAGTCCTACTATAGTGATCATACAATCTCAGCCTGTCCTTTATGATTATAGGACTACAAATCCCAGCATGTCCTTTATGATCATTATGCAAGGGACTACATGTCCCAGTATGTCCTACATGATTGTTATGGGGGACTAGAAGTTACAGCATAGATATAAAAAAAATTATCAATATGGAACTACAAGTCCCAGCATGCTCTCGCCAGCTGCAGATGACCCGATCGGTCACGCTGTGTCTTGGCGGTACAGAACAGACACAAACACACACAGCCCAGACCGCAGCAGGGCGTCGTGTCCGGTACCTGGGCCCCGGCATGGCTCTCGGTGCTCACAGCCCGGTGTCCTCTCCGCAACCGGAACACCACCGCACGCCGGAGCAAGGGCAGCGCCATCTTGGTGACGTCACTACGGCAGCTCCGAGCGGCCACACCTCCCTCCGCGCACCGAATGAGTCGTCACGTGAGCCGCCCAACAGCGGAGCGGAGAGCCTGAGGACTAGTGTAAGAATGATTACAATGATCGATATTGTCCCTCCTATATGAGTATTAATAATGGAAGTATCAATAATAAATGAAGTGTGGACACTGAGGGGGAATTATCAACACAGGAGCAGAATCTGCAGCAGTTGCCATGGCAACCAATCAGCTTCTCTCTTCAGTTTGTTTAGTTAAGCTTTGACAATTAAAAAAGCTGATCGGTTGCCATGACAACTGCTCCAGATGCTGTCTGCTCCAGGTGGGGTCCCCCCTGCCTTTGTTGTCACCCACTTCAAAGACAGCTCTGGTGGAGGTGTGCGGGGCCCCCCGGGCCGCGGGGTGGACGCTCGCCGACAAGGCGCACAGCTTACACTCATTAGGCCATTGGGCATGCTGCGGTGGTCTTTTCGCGCTCATTATGGATGCCGTGAAGGTCACATACAGGAGCGAGTCTGCGGGGTCATTATCCCATCAGAATAATCATAGCAACTGTTCCCCCCCAGGGAACGGGCCGAGTTCCTGGCTCCCATTAGAGGCACATGGACAGCGAGGGGTTCATCACGACCTAATTTAGGATATGCGAGAGCGCGGCGATGTGACGCAGATGAGACGATGTTCTTATTTCACGTTGCAGAGTGATCGGCAGTGGAAAAGCGGTGACGTGACTCTGCGGAGGAATCGCCGGCTCTGGACGCGGCGCAGTTATCACATGCGGTCGCTTTTCGGGATGATTTTGGCATTGGGGGGCTTCAGTCCCTCCTCGCCATAACTTGTCCCGCTGGGCAGAGGGGTCCCGAGGCGGGGGTGACACCCGGTGCGGTTACCGGGTGACACCCCGCAGTGACATCATCGTGCATGCGCATGATGATGTCACGCGCGGCACCGCTGTTACCTGCTGGCGGCCATCTTGGTGATGGATGCCGGAAGAGAGAGGAGGGGACAGTCACCCGGTGGGATGAGGTATGCTGCTGGGTCCTCTCCTGATACTGTCGGGCTCTCGGTCCTTGACCAAGTGCCCGACTTATCAGAGGGGGGGGGCTGTCAGTCATTTTGGTGTCACCCCTCCATTGGTGACACACGGGTGCGGGCTGCACCCCTCTTGTGACTCCACTGCCTTTGGGTCCCACAAGGCTGAGGCATCAAAACACTACATTCGATCTGGGAGGAGCTCCATCTAGTGGCCATCATGTGATTTTCCATTTGAACATTCGTTGATGCCAGGACTCCTAGAGAGGGTGACTCTCTCCCGTGGAGACGCAGACATTGATAAGAACCTGATAAGAACCTGACAGGGGCTGCGACCCTTCTCCATACCGCAGCCACTTCTGCTCACTCTTAACCTCATTTAAGGGGTCCCGGGTGGGGGAGGGGGGGAGTCTGAAACTCATTACACTCGACCGTTAAATTACTTTATCTCCAAAACAGTGAGATTCCTCGGCGGCTTCCAGCAAATCCGATTGTGGCCGCGGCGGGCGGCCCGTCGTATCGCGCTAAACGCTGAATTATGGAGCGGAGGGAGCCGGCCCGCCCCGGCCACATGGGAACCCCTATAGTTGGGGTAAGGATGGAGGTTCGGGAACAGCGGGAGATCCGCGGATTCAATCTCTGACACAAGAAACGCGCCGTTACCGTCATCATTGGCGGTTTTATGGCGTCTGTAAAGCGGCGTAATGGGCGGCGCAGTCCGATGCCGCGCACACAATCGGCGCTTTGATGTAGAAATTTTTCATGATAATAAATTCCTCCCGGCAAGGAATAAAGCTCTCGCAGCGGCCAATCAGGAGGCGGCTCTCAGGACTGACGCGGCTTCGAAGTGCGTAGTGATGCGCGGCTTGGTGTGCCGGGACTGCATCGCTGCGCCTCGCTTCCCCCCGCGCGCTGCTGTACTTACCTTCACCCCGTCACTCCGATTGACCTCCTGTGCACATAGTGTTATTATTATTCGGGATTTATATGGCGCCAACAGTGTGCGCAGCGCTGTTTGAGACGGGTTTGGAGATATATCCCGGGGCGGAGTTGTGGATGACTTTGTAAGTCGTTGTTAATATTTTGAATTTTATCCTTTGGGTGATTGGAAGCAAGTGCAGGGATTGGCAGAGGGGGGTAGCAAACGCTGAGTGATTGGT